TATTGTTACTCGTGCGTGAACACTACAAAAACTTCAGTGCTACAAATTGTAGCCATACTATCATGAATCTAGCAGAATTTAAGAAAAACACACTAGCTGGCCAGTTTTGGCAAGCAAGCTTAAGTTGATATTAATTAAGAGGCAATGAACCAATAGGACAATTGCATGATGATGTCATTTTACAACAACTACCAGAAATCCTTCAGTTTGTTGACTTCTCGAGCAAATTGGGGCTATGGTTTTTTAAACCTCAGCAAGACTGACAAATTTTTAAATTTAAAAATAAGAAAGCATAAACGAAATAAATTCTGTTAGTTCTAGTCAAATGTCGTCATCGTGAAAGTAGCCTGTTGTAAGAAATTCAGCTCTAACCCATATGCCTCTAAGAAGGTGACTCCTTTCTTGACTCCTAATTCAGTAGCAAAGAAGGATTCATGACTATTACAAGAGCACTCTGATCTCAACTTAGTCATCTCTGCTTTAGGCCATATGACTTAAGGAGCTTAAGACATAAGCAACCTGAGCTGAGAATTCAACCCCCAAGCAGCCAACAACATTGGTGCGAGACCCTCCTTTGGCGCACACCCCATGGAAAGTTAACTCATGGCCTGAGCCTGACTATGAGACCAGCCACTGAAACCTAGCCATCGCTAGGTTTCTGCTCGAATATTCTCGACGCTTTTCAAGCACCTTTTCAAAAATTAAGCTAGTTATAATAGATTAATGATCTGAAAATAAAAGCTCGTGACCTATGTTGCTTTTAATCGTGTGGGTAAACCTTCTATCACGCGTAAACTAAGGCATGAGGGCTAAAACCCAGACGATAGATTCTTTGCAATAGACGATAGACGATGGACGATGGACGATGGACGATGGACGATGGAGGATATCAAAATGTCAAAGACTTTTTCGCGACATTCAAACCTGAGATGCTCTAGTTTTAAATTTGCGGCCCTAGTAAGAAAGAGGAACTTCGGCTGTGTTCGAATTCGCACCCCAGAGAACTCATTAACGACTACACCACTAAATCTTACACGCTTTTCGCAGTAAAAAATATCTAATATAGCGCATTTGGCCCTGGAAGGTTTGACGGAAAACGTCGTTTGAATTAAGCTAGTCGAGCAATTAAAAAAAATATGTTTGAGGAAAATAAGCAAGTTTTGGTTGTAAAAGGCGTAACTTGAAATCATTTTATCGCATTTGAAGGAATTACCTCGATTTTCGCTCTTATTTTGAAATAGTGTTTTGAAACTAATGGATCACATCGCTTCTGTTTTCTCAGTCTGAAATACTTCGAAATTTATCGCCAAAAGAATTCCTTGATAGTTACAACGCGACCGCCGAACAACAGGAACAAGTTTGTTTTTTTTTGTTGCGGTTTTGATGCTAGGCGACTGTGCAGACACCATCGCGCCGTGATATAGAAAGATCAGTACGCTACCGACCCACGCGCGATCACGTGCGACAAATGTCGACAGATTTATCAATCTCGCTACGCGAGGAATAAAAATGTTGTATCGGCGCTTAGATTTTCTTAAAACAAGAAAAACTTATAACACCAAACGTAAATGAGAAGCGAACAAGTCTAACGAGTCTATGCGAAGTTCATTTTAAAACGTGTTCAATCAGTCCTCCGCTTTTTTAGACCAAAATGAGGGCCGAAGGGGCCGAAAAATTTTTTCTCAGTCCACCCCCCCTCCCCCACTCTTATCTCAGGGTCTGGATGACCGGGGCCCCCCGTTATCTGAAGGTCTGAATCCGCCACTAACTTGAGTTACAGTCGAATTTGTTTTTTTTGCTCCTAACTTTTGCTTTCCAAAAAAAAAAATATATATATATATACACCTTCCACCTTCTAGTGGCCTCTGTGAACTCTAAAAAATTGTTTGGGGAGTCCCGTGAGCCATAAAGCCTTCAATTCGACTGCGCGTTAGCGTGGTTGTCTTGGTGGTTAACACATCGGCACTAGAAAGTCGAGGACGCGGGTTCAAATCCCGATCAAGGCAATTTTTAGAGTTTCACTTGTGTTCATTTATTTATTTCTTTCACTGGTTTCAGTTCATTTGTGTTATATATATATATATAATATATATATATATATGTCTTTAGTTCTTTTTCGCTTGATCATGTGACATGACTATTTTCTTAAAATTGCAAATATTCGAGGGAATGCCTGTACATTAATTACTTCACTTTTGTTGTTCTTTTTTCCTAAAAAAATGTAATGACAATAAAGGTCACTTTAACAAATGTGTGGATCTAAATTCTATTAAACGTTGTTCTTTTGTCTTTCACGGATTCTATTTTATAAACTTTTTTTTAATAACTGTTCGAAGGAACAAATATTGCCTAGAAATTTCTCAAGCTTGAGAAAAGCTAAAGATTTCTGGATAACCGTTCCATTCGTCTAAAATATTCAGAGGTTTTCTAATAGCTTAACTACGATTTTCGGAAGTTGTGTTAATCCGCTTTTAAGAGACAATCCTCTCTTTGAACATTTGATGAGAACGTGTTCAACATTCTCAAAGGCCAGGAAAACCTTAGATTACGTACTAAGATTCGTCAACAACACAAGAATGAAAGCGAAGAATAGAGATCCAATTTCACCAAAAGAACTGACGAAGTCAGAACTTCGGTTGTTCAAATGGTGCCAGCAGACGATTGACGTCGACAAGCTAGATAAGAAGCTTATTCCGTCAAAGGACGAGCATGGATTACTACGCGCGCATGGAAGAGTGGAAAACATATTAAGGATGCTTCCAGATGAAATGCGCAATCCTATTATCCTCCCGAAGAGTCACACGGAAAACGAGCACACTGCGGTTACAAGAGCCTCATTTACGAATCAAGAAAGCGATTCTGGATTGTGGGAGTACGTCACATGGCGAAACATCTAACAGGAAAATGTGTGACTTGCAAGAAACTGCGAAATGAGCCATTTGAGCAGTTACTGGCCAAGATTCCTAAACTACGCGTAGCGGCTCGCACCAGTCACCTGAACGGAATTGTGGAGAGTCTCATCAAATCAGTACGACAAGCGTTGGATGCTACGGCTAAAAACCAAGCCCTCACTGAAGAGCAGTGGAGAACGTATTTAGCAGAAGTTACATGCTTAATAAATAACGTCCTCTCTACCCAAGCTCAAACGGGATTTGGGAAAGTCCGCCTATCACGCCAAATGATCTCAGTTTGATCGGGGATCATTTTCCACCTCCGATTTCAGAAGTAGAATCGAAAGTAAATCCAAAACACCTCTTGGGAAGTACAGAGAAACGAGTGCAAGAGTTTTGGGATTGCTGGATGAAATATTTTGCTTCCAATCTGCTTCCAAGAAACAAGTGGTTCAGAGAGAAAATCTACGAAAAGGAGATTTGGTGTTAAAAATTGAACCAACTCCCAGGAAAACGTGAAAGATGGGACTTGTACTCGAAACTTATCCCGGTGAAGATGGTCTTATTAGAAAAGCAAAGATTAAAACAGCAACGTCAGTCTATGATCGACCAGTTCACAAATGTTTAATCGCGACAAAAGAAGAATTAAACATCATGCCTCAGTTATAGAACCTGGTTAAAGCTAACTTATGTAGTGCAAAGAAACAAGTTGCTAAACCAATTACTTAAGTAATTCGGCTTTCCGCACCGGGGGGGGGGAGTGTTTTGCATTCCGCCCATAGCCAGCGATACTGCGTATATTACGTAGTGTTAATTAACTCCCGCGAGGATATTTTAGGGTATATAAGCGGTCACGCGGTATTAGGCGAGGACACTATCACGGTACAGCAGAAATGTATCAGGTTTTTTAGACTCTCTCCCTCGGAGTCTTCAGCATTTCAAGTGTATAACCACAAAATTACAATATACCAAATAAACCTGCTGTGTGTGGAAAAAACTGGTACGTGAGTACGTGATTCTCTTCCAAGTGGATTCGATATATATCCAAATCAATTACAAAGAGTTTGTATATGTTGTAGTTAATTTGTATCTTAGGTATTTTTTCTTTTTCTTTTTTTTTTCAACTTCATTAGCATACATTACCATACCCAAAAAACAAAAGGAAAACAAAAACTACCTGAGATAAAAAATTAACTACAACATATATATGGTAAAGGCAAAAGAAAACTCAGCAAGCTCTAAAATTATGAGCTTTTTTAAGGTTCCCCAATGATTTCTGTTGAAAATTAAAAAGGTGGCATAAGATATTAATCAAGGTATATCAGAGAGTATCTTTCGCTGATTGTACATGTGAAGGTAATGCTTTCTTAAATGCGTTGCTTGATTTTAATTCCTTCAAATCATTTGGTAAACTATTCCATACTATTGCTCCTCTATACTGAAGAGAAAATTTTCCATAATTTGATTACAAATAAAGATTACATAATGATTATAATTCGTTACGTTTGTTCATTTCCAGAGGCTTGATGGTTTTGGCTTTATGAATGAGGTTTGCGTCACGTGCCGTCCTAAGACAATAGCATTCATATCTAAGTGTTTCAATTGGGATAAGTAACATATGGGAAACAGAGTGGCTATTTCCGAGGAAGTGTTCTGAAACTGACAGTTACAGACTGGGCGGGTTCTAGATCCCCTATAACGACCACTGCCTCCTTAGCAGTCTCTCGTCATCGCTTATTTTTTGGTTGTTTTAGTTAACAAGTAAGGTATGAGGGGGAGAAAAGAAAAATGGCAAGTACAGAAAAAGCTAAGCGACTGTCACTTATCTCTATTTATCATTATATTTTATTTAATTAGATTCGCCAATTCTTGGCAGGGTCACCGCATGACGCTAATTACTGCGAGTAACAGTCCCTTCCCATCAGTCCCCGCTCGCGCTCCGCGCTCGTTCGCATCATACTCCACTAGTTCTTCCCAGCTCAGCTTGGGGAAAGACTGTGGAGGAAGCAGTGACGATTACAAATTCATGAAGAATCTTACTGGAAGTTTTGTAAAATTAACTCAAATTGCAGCAGAGACATACTTATGTGAATTTTTTTTTTCAATCAT